ACTTACATGCAAAGCATTTATAAATTTATTCATTTATTTAGATAAACTTTCTCTCTTGCCTAATTAAAATTACAGAAATGTAAACCTCAGTTTTAATCTTGATAACTTAAAGATAGATTTTTGGATAAATTAGCTCAGGTGTTACTGAACAGTAAAACCTAAATAAAAGATGGTCTAATATTCCTCTCTGCCATGAGACTTTAAATCTTGAAGTCATTTAAACTTTTCTCTATAATTCTCTTGGCCAAAAAGAACTTATAATTTCTCAAAGCTTTTATAGTCTTCTCTATCTTCCTGTCTACACTAAATTTTCTATCCCCTAGAATTCTACACTCAACTCTCTTAATTATTACCATAAATTTTCCATTTCATTGGGAGATCTTGCTTGTTTCCATGGGTTTCTTTCTGTTTTATACATTGATAATACAAATTCTCACTTTGCACCATGATTCTTCTAGGATATGTTTGAAGCCTATTTTTATATCACAAAATTCTTTCAAACTTCCAAACTTAAGTATCATTTATTTCTTGACCTGACTAATATTTAATTATCAATACATCCGATCTGCTAGTTAAAAACCATAGTGTTCTTTGTTACACCGTTTCCTCTTGTCCACTGCTTCAAACAGTCATCAATTATGTTATTTCTTTATCAAAAATGTGTCTCACATCTGCTTATTTCTTTTCATTTCCATGGGCAGATTTATCAGTAAAAGTCATCATTTTCTTTTCTTGTGACAGCATCCTTAGTGGTCTCTGTCACTATTCTCATTCCTTGACCTGACTAATATTTAATTATCAATACATCCGATCTGCTAGTTAAAAACCATAGTGTTCTTTGTTACACTGTTTCCTCTTGTCCACTGCTTCAAACAGTCATCAATTACGTTATTTCTTTATCAAAAATGTGTCTCACATCTGCTTATTTCTTTTCATTTCCATAGGCAGATTTATCAGTAAAAGTCATCATTTTCTTTTCTTGTGACAGCATCCTTAGTGGTCTCTGTCACTATTCTCATTCTTCCAGGTTTCTTACTACCCTGTCAAGGTTTATTATGATAAACACAATTTTGTTTAAGTCACTATGAAGACTACAGACCTCAATGAGTG